TAAAAATTGTTTGTGTATTTGATTGCAAGCGTCACTGAAAATTTATATCAGATCATTTTCAGATTTGATGTGCAGTATTGCGTGAGAACTTCCAAAGAAGTGTTTTTTACTTATTTGAAAAACAACAAAATATGTCGTGTTTTGTTTTTTGTCACAAATAATGTACTCGCTTTGCACCAAGCTTTTCTTTCATAGTTCGAAAATCATATTAAATGCCATCAATGTTCAAATTGCTGGTAATGGTGATATGCAAACCGTTAACATTGGATGTGGTTGTTTGTACTTTTAGACGCTTACCTATTAGATATTCAGATATCTGATGTACTGCATCTTCTTTTTTGTTTGAATATCGGATGGTACGTTTAAACGGATGAAAACCAACTAATATGGAACTATGAATTTCCGAATGGAAAAAGCATAGAAATTAAATTAGAATCAACTTGAATCGAAAATTTTACCAAATGAATTTAGATAACAATCAGAATTGACGAAAGATTTTACAGAAAAAGACGTTGAAATTCAAAGAATAATCAAATGAAACTCAACTTGTATTTTAAGTTTTTATTTTAACCCAATCCCATGTTAATGTGTCGGCACTATCGTGAACCTGTTGTAAAATATGTTCCCATGGAAAAAAATGTAATCCATTTTTATTTTGATATTGACTAAAGATGAAAACATCTTCTAGAAATGTCTCATTGTTTTAAAGTTATATCCGTCGGAAAATTTTTAATGCAACCGTTGAAAATTGTTGTATTAGTTTCCCTGTCCCACACGTAAAACATGAATGGATGATCGGCCCTGAAGATACCTGTCCCACTTAATCTTCTGTGGATGGAACCTGTATATAATTATAAATAAATTGTGTACAGTATTACATTGGAATGTCAAAGAATGGTATTAAGTTAATACTATCAACTACTACTGCAGCGAAATTCATACAATGAAAATTCGCCGCATTCACAAAAAAATTGCAATAAAACATTTGAGTGGTATACGTCCGTTGCTCAAAACAGCGTACATAATAATTTTTTACGCGAAGAAAAGCATGCTGTAATTCAAACGTTATACTATAATCAATACCATCTTTGTCACTGGAACGCATTGAGCTTTTTTTTTGTAAAAATGTATATTACATGAATTTCGCTGTAAGTAAAAAAAATGTTAAGTTTTTAAAATTTCACCTGTTGCAGCAGAAGCTTCACTGAGTTTTTCGTTTATTTCAATGGTAGCTTGATGAATGACGTGACTCACATATAGTGGCACGGTAGTGCTTAAAAGGCCACTAAAATTCGCTTCCAATTCAAACATGTCATTCATGCCAATCTAAGTAAAGAAAATCTTATTTCGAAATCTAAATCAACAGAATTTCTTTTTCTTCGTTGAAGACATACTTTTTTCAAAATATCATTGAGAAGGAGTTCAGTCGTGACTTTGAATTTCGGGATTTGAACTTCATATTCCATAAATTTCATTTTTTCAACAATTTTAGATAAATTAATATTTTGTAACTGAGCTTCTAGCGTAGACAATCCCATTCGTTTGTTTGGTAGAATTATTATGAATGAAAAATTCGATTGGAAATAGTCAAGCCTAAGTGCAGCGATATCTAATTCATGTAAATCAACAATCCAAACTTTCTTTTTCATTTTCATGAAGTTGGCCTCAACTGTTTCCGTTTCACTGATGTAAAAATTTTCCTTCCAATCGTAAAAGCCACCACCTGGTTTTTTGTGTCGTGGGAATGGTTGGAGCCAGATGCTCTTTAGATAGATCGTGTTGACCATAAAAACAGTAGTCGATTCACCCAACATATCAGAAGCGATTTTTCGAAAATCCTGATTCAATTGGAATCCTTCGTGTACATAGATTTGATTTGCAATCATCAGTTCCGATTGTCCGGCACTTCTTTTGATTATTTTAATGTATTCTTTGAATTTATCAGCTACATCAGACTTGTCACCATTCAAGTGCAAATGTTTTCTCAATTGTTCATATGTCGTTCCATTGGCTGCTTCAGAAAGAAGAGTTAACGATGTCCCAACTGAAAATGGTGAAATTACCAAATTTCCAGATTTGAATTGGGAGCATTGCTATATCAAAGAAATTTCGGCTCCAAATTAGTGTGTCAAATTCAATGTTTATTAAAATGAAAGTTCACCTGATACAAGTCAACGCTAAAATTGTAAAATCCTCGACTCATTGCTTCTATTTGAACTTGTGCAGCTATTGTGGCTGTCCAACTCAAAATTATAAGAACGGCAATATTGAATGTAAGCATTTTAATTCAAGAATGAGTAGAAATAGTATATTTTTACAATAAATATAAAAAATGTTTCGAATCGAAAGAACACCAATGTATAACTGAATCAATTGAATACAACTGAAAGTAAAGATATTGTGATACTTTACGATTTGGAAGCAATGATCAATTACACAATTGAAGTTAATATATTAACAATTTTTAAGTTAAAGAGGATGCGTAAATTGATATCTTTGCCGTAGATTGGATTAATTCAGTTTAAATGATTGTGAAATATTATCCACTTTTCCCATCGCGAATCTCATGCGCATGCGTGTGTTTTTTCCCCTCTGAAATTTTTTGTCCCCGTCCCCGCGAGAATTACATGCATTTTACTGTCCCCCCTCGCCTATGGTTGGACGAAATATACATTTTTATACTACTGTGACCTATCAGGTACGGCTCAAGTATAGTTAAGCCACACAATTCGTTTTAGAAAAAATTGACTCATTTGAAAAAAAAAAAA